TCTTGGTTGTTCTAAATGAAATAAAAATGCAAAAAGCAAAACCCAAATTGGTGTAGATGATTTTACCTTTGAAGAAAATGTAGGTTGGGAATTATATGAATTTTAATTAGATGAAAAGGTTAGGAAAAACCCTTTCCCAATTGATAATAATAATTTCTTTTCTTACCATGGTATAAAAACTAAGTGTTACATATACAAGAGATGCATTAGCCATACATATTTCTAATGCAGCAGCCACAGCACAGGGAATCTAATAATAATGAAGGAATATTAGAAAAGCTTTATAAAGTTTTCCTCCTTCCCCCAAAATAAAACAAAAAACTTACAACTCTAGTAACATAACTACGAATTGATATTGATTTTACATTTTTTCTTTCATAAATAAATGGTAAAGTATTATTCATCAAAACAACAGTTATTATAGAATGCACTCCAGTATGTATAGAACTTATAAGTAATGGTAAATTTAAATTGAAATTATCTCTTCCCATTAAATTCTTATTATAGAATGATAATGCAGTAGAAAAAAAATACCAAGTAAATATGTAAGAAAGATTTTTTAAAATATTTTCCCAACTAAAAATGTAATTATAAGTTTTTGGTTTATCACTATCATCATTATCTTTTAGAATGTTTTCTTGTGTTGAAAAAGAATTTTCCAAATCATTATTACTACTATTATGTGTTAGTAACGTTACAGCCGACTCATTGTCATTATTGCCACCATGAATATTTATTGATAAATTAGCAGAAGAGTTTATCGAAGATGAAGAGGTAGGTGGACTAGATCTTTGTTGTAACAACATAGATCTATTACCAAGTTTTGGATTTAACCTATCTATATTATAATTTGAAAGTGTTTCAATCGAATTTTTATTCTTAATATTATTATTATTATTAATATTATCTAAAATGATTGCTTCGTCATTTTCCATGTTGAAATAGTTTAAACGCAGATAATTAAATTTATGCAAGTAGGAGTTAACCAGAAATGATCTACATAATTTTAATTAGTTCCTGCCGTTGTTAAACACCTTGTTTCTTGTAAGTTATAACGAAGTGTAACTAATTAAATACGTGTTATAACGAACTTTTAACAATCTGGCTCTGAACAGGAAGTGTAATTACATATAAATTCGACTCGTGTAACCAATCAGTTTTTTAAAATATCTCATTATTTTTATAACAAATTTAAACATCATTATTAATCAAAAATAAAA